GTTTGGCCTCTCTGTGCAGGATATCGGCACCGCGTAAGTTGCAGCCCCCCTTTCTTGGTGCCCATCTGGAGCATTGTGTTCCCCGAGAGCGGACAAATCGAAGGCTAGGTCGCTAACAACGTTTCTCTGCCAGGGCGCTTCATACATGGACGTATAATGGAAAGAAGAACGACGGCGACTACAGGACTGGGGGTTACCAGTTCAACGACTTTTATGACGAGTCGAAGCCGGACGCGGACAAGGCGCTGGAGCTGGGGTTGGCTAAGCTTAATGTGTGCGACCTCGAGGTTGCACTTGACAACTGGGATGCGGGTGCTTCTAGGAAGAAGGGGGAATTCTACCCGTGCTAAGGGAGGATGCATCATCAAGGGGAAGGGGGTTTTGGTGGACGTGATCAATCATTGATATAGGTTTCTTTTGTATACTAGAGCATGAGGGAGTGTGACCAGCCGGTTGCATAGGCGTTGTATAATACAGTACTTGTTCTGTGAGCGCGAGACCTCTCCAAGGACACTAGCCGAGGCTACGAATCTGTTGATGAAGGCCCTGAGATATGAGTTGGATGCCTATGGTTGTGTTATGCATGCGTTGACGGGGGAGAAGCAGTCCTCGCTTTCTCCCTGGTGATGGTATGTGTTTTAGCGCGAGACCTCTGCCCAGGGAAATGATGGGTCTCATCAGAGAATCGATGGCAAGCACGGAGCATATCAATGCCCTTTTCAATCTTGGTGCAGGCAGGCAGTGGTGGATCTGTGGGCGAAGATCGCTGCGATACGGCGTGCCAGATTCGAATGCGAACGAAAAAACAGACATCTGCCACAGGGCAGCCTCCGAAGCCCGGTCCCGGCTATGTTCACAACCGACCAGCGCTGCCTGAATGTCAGAGTGTCAGAGTCAGTGTATGTCCAGGATATTTTTGAAGTCAGTCTCCCACGTACCTCTTGAGTTGACGTGGCCTGGGCCACCAGAGCGGTGCTCATGGTAGGTCCCTTGGACGAGGCATTACCCGAGAGGAGGCGGCATTGCCCGTCAAACGAGGTCACCGACACCACTGCGATTGGAACACATGCTCCCGTCCACGAAATCAACGTTCCTTGCTCAAAGCATCGAAGCATCGCAGCTACCTGTATCAATCAATCCCATCCCAATTCCTCTCCTCGGGTACCCCTGTTTACACCCTCCATCCATCCCTTCCCGCCTGTTTGTTCAGGCCCCGGCCGCTGAAGCTACAGCTACATGTACGCGGCCTTGGAGCGGTGAGGGCACGTGGCCGAGCGCTTCGTGGCGATACAGTTGCTGCATCCTGGGGAGCATGAGTGTAAGTACCGGGCAGGAGCGGCGAGGACCGGGGGTGCGGCGAGGGCAACGACGGGTGCGGAAGCTTGGGGTGACAGCAAGACTCTGCAAGGTGTGTATGGACGCATCGCCGACCTCGTGAAGGATACTGGTGTCAGCCCCGCTGACATCGGCATCTTGACAGCGTACGCCGCCAATCGGGATGTGATGAAGAAGACCATCAAGAAGAAGTTACAGTGTCCCGTCACTTGCGTCGATGCCCGAGGCCGCTACCGTGGACTCGTACCAGGGTAACGAGAAGCCCGTCATTGTCGCAATCATGGGTACCGCGCATCCCAAGCCAGGTCCCGGGTTTACGACAGACCAGCGCCGCCTAAATGTTATGTTGACAAGACACAAGTGCGCTCTTGTGATTGTTGGCGACATTCACGTCGGGGAGCCATACGATATGGTTAGCGGATCCGCCAAGGGAGGGGCGAGGGGCGAGGGGCGGGAAGTTCCAGGCCGAGACGGAGACTGGGGAAGAGACTTGGGTTGATGGAAAGACCCTCCAGGGCGTATACGGAGGGCTTATCCGGGCGAAGCGGGTGGCTGGGCTGTATGGAAGTAGGAGCGGCGAGGACGGGAGTGCGGCGAGGGTGACGATGGGGGCAAGTCCTGAGGGTGTTGGGGGTAAGGGGGAGTCGGAAACGATTCCGTGATATCCAGTATGGGATAAAGTCCAAAAATTCTTGCTGATGTTGGGGTACATCTACAGAATGTCATTTGGAATTACTCACGAGATGACATTTTGTCTTCAAATGACCCCAAAGTGTCCAATCTCAGTGTAGCACCGAAGAACATTCGGACAACGGGGCATATGACACAATGATCGTTTCTCTGGTTCCAGGTGCCAAACAACGTTGGCGTTTTGGAAATGTTGGTAAAGATATATCTCTTGATGTGGCAGAGAATGATTAGAATGCGTTGCCATATTTCGTCGATGGCCTCTTGTCTATAGTACAGCAATGGGAAAAGGGAAAGCCAAGGAGAGAGCACCATATTAACTGCCTGCCGTTTGTGGTTTACGGATGGTATCTCCAACTTTCTCCAAACTCCGTTGAGTCGTTGATCCAATGAGCATGGATTCAGTCTTGGCCCCCAACTCGCCGTTGGTAAGGTTGGGTGTCAAGATGCCTAGCTCCCTTCAACCCCTCATCACCATTCACGACCCAAGATGGCCACGCCCATGAGACTGTGCGTCTTTTGCCGGCGCATCGAGCCCATATCGGTGCCATGCAACGCAAAGGAGTCGTCTTCTCTCCCCAAGGTGGTCTCACCCCTTTATCCCCACGAGGAAGCCATGCTCCTGAGCCTCCAGCAGCAGCCCAGTGCCCTCTGTCAGCGATGCTCCGACTACGACATTGTCCGCGTGTTTCGGGATGCAGAAGCCATGGATGGCAGGGCCCTCCCTGATCCCGAGCGACACTCAAGAGAAGATAACCTCAGGTACCACGAGATGATGGGCGAGTATTATGAGCTCGCCGACAAGTACAAGATGGACCTCGGCCAGATGTCGTCCCTGGTCCTGGCCCCGTCGTGTCCCTTGTGTCGTCTCATCTTTCGCATCCTCCCGCGCGAGGGAATCAGCCCGTCGACCGACAATCTCAAGATTGCGCCGTTTCGATCCTACCTCCAGCACACGGGCTGGGAGAAGTTGGTCGACGAGTACCACTCCAAGGGTGCCATCTTTCTCGGACTGGACCACACTGCCAATCTCCTGGGCTACATGATGGGCTCGCGGATGGGGTCAGACAACGGCATCAAGCAGTCCCAGATGGCCGGCGAGTCCATCTGTCTCGCCACATCCGACACGTTTCCCGGTCGCAGTATGGGGAACGGCCAGCCCGTCACGCCGCTCATCGACTTTTCCTTCCCCAAGCAAGCTCTGGAGAACTGCAGAAAGCACCACGGCACCTTTTGCGAGATCCAAAAGCCGCCCGAGATCAAACGCATCCGCGTCATCGACACCTCCCACCGAACCGTCATCCCCTACCCCGACAACTGCGACTACCTCGCCCTCTCCTACGTCTGGGGAGGCGTGATGCCCGCCGACGGCGCCCTGGAATCCGGCACCCTCCCCCGCACCATCGAAGACGCCATCACCGTCACCAAAAACCTCGGCTACCGGTACCTTTGGGTCGACGCGCTCTGCATCGATCAGACCCAGGACCCCACCCCCCAGCAACGCGCCGAGAAGGACCAACAGCTCCGCATGATGGACATGATCTACAGCTCCGCCACCCTCACCCTCATCGCCCTAGCCGGCACCGACTCCAACGTCGGCCTCCCCGGCGTCACCACCCGCCGCCCCGCCGCCCTCACCGAGACCATCGCCGCCCTCACCCTCCTCACCCTCCCCCCGACCCTCGCCGCCGAGCAGGCCGCCTCCACCTGGTCCACCCGCGCCTGGACCCTCCAGGAGGAACTCCTCTCCCGCCGCCACCTCTTCTTCACCCCCACCCACCTCGAGTTCCAGTGCAGCCGCACCCGCGTCCCCGAGTCCCTCGACGCGGCGACACACCCCGCCGGCGGGTGGACCAGCCCGCTCCCGGAGATTTTGGACCTGCTCGTCCCGGGGGCGTACCAGCCATCTTCCACACTGCAGGAGTCTGGGTCCGGCCTCCTCCTCTCTGACGTGTATTGGCTGATCACGGCGGACTATACCTCCCGCGCCATGACCAATGATGGGGACTCGCTCAACGCGCTGCTTGGGGTTCTGAACGTGTGGGAGCGCACGCTGCTCCCGCCGGGGACGTGTGTGTGGGGCTTGCCGCTGAAGGCGCATCCGCCGTGCTTGGGATGGATGCACCCGCGCGGGGTGGGGGCGAAGCCGAGGAGGAGGGCGGCGTTCCCGTCGTGGTCATGGACGGGGTGGGCGGGGGAGGTGAGTATTGATGTGGGGTTGCTGCCGGCGGGGGACGGCGAGGAAGGGGAAACGGGGGTGGTGGGGAGGGATATGGCGGTTGAGGTGGTGGGAGTGGAGGGGAAGGAGCTGGTGGTCGAGGGATGGGTGGTGGAGGGGGGGTTGGTGGTGAGGACGGAGCCGTTTAGCGAGGTGGTGGTGCCGGGCGGGGAGGGGGAGGTGATGGGGTTGGTGACGGAGAGGAATTTCTTGCATCCGAATACGTTGGGGACGGGGCGGTATGAGGTTTTGGTGGTGGAGAGGGTGAAGACTCGGGTGAGGGAGGGAGGGCCGGTGGTGGAAAAGGTGTTTATGGTGGTGCTGGATGGGGATGGGGTGGGCAGGCCGGCGGAGAGGAGGACGACGATTACGTTGAAGACGGAGGCGGGGTATGGGTTTGAGTGCTTAGGCGTGGTGAAGAGGAGGGTGAGGCTTGTGTGAGATCTGTGCTGCCTCTGCTGTGAGTTGGAGCCTGGAGGACAAACAGGATTCTCGTTGTCTGTACACTCCAGCCCTGGTTTGTTAGATTGACGGAAATAAGGTTTTGAAGCGGGGTTGCTTTGGTCGGGAGAGAGGCACGAGAGGTAGGCGGGGTGGTGTACTCGGGGAGGTAGACAGAAAAGGCGGTGCAGGTGTCCACGGGTATCTTGGGGGGGCAGGTGCTGGTGAGGTGGACGGCGATGGGGACCGAGCTTGTAAGGCAGTCATTGACTCTGCGTCATGAACAGGTTTACGGACCCCGATAAACATAATTCAGTTAGTGGGTGTAGTATAGTGGTCAGTACTTCTCGTTGTGGTGTAACACAGCGATCCGAGAGGACCCAGGTTCGATTCCTGGCACCCACACACTTTTTGGCACCTCTATTCCAGTCCTGAATGGACTGCTGGAAATAATCCCATTCGATTGTGAGGCTGTATGTCTTTTTGTTGGGCTGGTTTGTCGTGTGTGAAGCTCGCTGTGCTGGAGTATCTGCCCATTGTCATAGCCCCGTCATGCACTGGCCACCCTTTGGTAGATTAGATAGGAAAGCGGGGCACTGGAGCACGGACCGCTTTATCGGTCGCTTTTGGCAGCCCATTGCTTCGCAGTTTTCCGCCACCTAATGTCCACCACTGTGCTCATCTTGCTACCAAGACAGCACGAGCGGGTTGCTGCGGGAATGAAGTTGAGGGGTTTCGGACGATCTGGCTGCTTGGAAAGCGATTAACTGCATGTGCTGTTAGGGTGGAAATCTCCAGGTTACATCCACCGTCACGGTTCAAGATGCTCCTTTGGCACCCGGTTCAGCGCTGACCCGCTTAATACCAAAGACTGGACAGGATGTTGCAGGGGAAGCGATGCTGCCAAGTTTGAAGTATCTGCAATAGGTACTATAAAAGAACGAACCAACATCATATTATGAACAAGACCCATCGTCCCATCCCCCCTCGTATTTACACCCTCCCTCCCTGCCAGCCGGTGCCCTACCCCAGGGAAACCACATTCGTCGTCACCGCCGGCACAGGCACGCTCAGTGCCGGCGCCGACAGGCTCGCCGCCGGCGCCGACAGGCTCATCACCGGCGCCTCGGTCGCCGCCACGCACTGCGGCACCGTCTGCACCAGCACCAGCTCCGTCTTGAGGACCGTCTCGGTCTTGAGCACCGTCTCGGGCTTGCCGGCGACCGTCTCGGTCTTGACCTCGGTCTTTGTGACGGCGGGGGCCGACGAGATGACGGTGGACACGCTCGTGACCGTCGCCGTCGCCGTCTTGGTCTCGGTCTTGGTGACGGTGGTGGTGACGACCGACGTGGCCGGCTTGGGGGCGGCGGCGGTGGTGGTGGGCTTCGCGGACGAGGCGGGCGGGGGGTTCTGGTTGGCTCCGCCACTGTTGGTGTTGCCCACCTCTTGCACTGTGTATTTTGAGTTTCCTGGGTAGGCACCTAGTCAGCATGAGAACAATGAGGGTGTTGGAACGGAGACTAACCTGCGGCATTGCCCCAGCCCTCGGTGGCGAGCACCTGGTAATCGTGCTGGGATCCCAAATTCAGGCCAAATTTCTTCCAGGCGTCAAAATGTGCCTGCATGTTGACGGTGCCGCTGCCGGGGCGCTTGTTGACGCGGTTCGAGATGAACTGCATAAAGGTGCTGGTGCCCGAGATTGAAGGCTGGTTGACTTGCTATAATAGTCTCAGCATGGCAACCCCGCGAAGCACTACCAATTTTTTCAAATACCTGATGCTTCCACACATCATACGTGCTGCCGTCGGTGGTAAAGGAGCCTAGCTTGGTGCCCTGCGCCGACCCGGCCCCGTTGGAGGTGTACTCTTGCACGTAGTACTCGATCAGCGGGTTCTTGGTCCACCCGTAGACGGACACGAGCACGGTGCCGGCTTGCTGCTGCGTCGAGCCCTCGAAGCTGATGTTGCGCGCGCGGCCGGTGCGCCAGCCCTTGCCGACGACAAAGTCGCCGGCGTTGGAGAAGGTGACCGAGTAGCCGTTGTTGCTGGGCGTGTAGTTGATGTTGCCTTGCCCGGCCTAGGAAAGGCATGTCAGCTCCTGTCTCTTGAACAAGCTTGGGGGATAACCCGAGGGATCGGGAGCTCCCGGAGTAGTATGTGCTGGCTGACCTTCCTAAAATTCATGTCAGCTTTTGAAAGAGTTTGGGGGATAAACCGGGATCGCGGACCAGTTCTGGTTGTAGTCCAAGCCACCCTGCCGGCGGGCGAGGTTGTGCGGCCCGATCTCAAAGTTGGGGGCGTCGGGGTCGGCCTCGGGGCTGGGGGCGGCGAGGGTCCCGGTGATGGCCGTCACGGCGAGGGTGAGGAACTTGAAGGCAACCATGGTGACTGAGGGCGGGTGACTGAATGGTGGCTTGGTGCTTCTCGCTTCTGGTGAAGAGGGTGATGGCTCTGTCTTATAGCTTGACGTCTTGCGTTCGTCCGCCCCCCGGGTAATATCTCTTGGGGGGCATCATATCACCACCATGCTGCTATAAAAGTCAGAAATGAGGACGACAGGACGCGCACCTATGACGGGGGATATCCTACCGCATCGTCGTTATTGCCCTCGTCCAAGCACATGATGCCAAGAGTCTGGCTGCGAGTGACGATGTTCGTCTTTGGTCACCAACCCACCAGGTTCTGCTTGTGTAAAGACCGGTTGTTTCGGCTCGGATTTATCCAGGGAGACAGGAGCCTCCCTCCCAACGACGGACGGCACAATGCGGGGAAATCAGGGCTGCCCCAGACCAACGGCGGAGTGTCGGGGGCTTTCTGCCTCTTTCGGCTTGTGCGTGGTGGGCTACCGAGCCCCAAACTTTCAGATAGATTGCGTGTGTGTCGAAGCCGCGGAATTTATCCAAGCATTTCGCCGAGCTGGGTGCGTGCTGGCCGGTCCCGTGGCCACATTGTCGACATGTCCGCTGCTTGGAATGGTGTTTTGATCGTGGTTCCCGTCGACCGGGAAAAGGGTTTGCAGCCAAGACGGGGCCAAGGAAACCAAGACTCTTGGCCGTCGCCATCACCACTGTGAGTCGAAGAAACAAGCCTTTGAAATGAGCTTGGCGGTCTGGGCGAAAAGGCTTGGTCTTTTCCAGGTCCCGGTCGCTGGGATTGGAGTCGGAGATGGAAAGGTTTTGCGGACGGCACGCCGATCGACCCGACCGGCCGAGCCATTCGAGCAACTCCACCCTTTAGGTTCGGGATGTGGTCCGGCACCAACAAACGACCCTCCTTCCCTCGTGTGACGAAAAAACGGGACGCGACACGCCACACCCTCATCAGCGCGAAGGTGCCGCCTTTCCAGAATCCACCGGTTCCTGGAGCCGCCCCCGCAACAACCAGCAGGAATCCCCACACTCGCTGATTGGATCGCATGGAGGAGCTTTCCATTCTGGACCTCTTTATTTTTCCTCTGGGGGGCAGTGACTGCTGGGGGGAGAGAGTTGCGGGAGGGGTGGTCAAGGACTGGCCCCCGTCCTATGGTGGGTGAACAGCTTGCGACGTAAGCCTCAATTTAGCTGCAACTTGCGACGAAAGGACGATAGGCCGATCTCAAATATGAAGCTGGTCCCGTGCTGAGATTGCCAGAAAAGATTCTTGTCGCCTCGATCAGAACAGAATCGGATATGAAATGTGTCGGCCCGGTCATCGTGGTGCACTTGCCGACCCTGGGAGCCTGTGTTTAAATCGTACGTCTTGATCCTTGTGTGATCCTTCGCCCCTCTCTTGCTGGACCCTATCGAGCAACATCAAAATACAATCCGGTAATCCGTACTGGTTTGCTTGTTAGCGCGAGACCTCTCGCCAAGGACGCCGCGCCTCCTGTTCCGACCTCAAGGCCGCCAATTCAGAGTCCAGGACATCCAGCTCTGCCATTGAAGCTTGGTTGCACAAAGAAAAAGGCCTCCAGTTCCGACCCAAAGGCATTCGGCTCTGAGGAAAGGTATCCAGTTCCATCTCCAGGGCCTCCATCAAACGGCGTGTGCTATGTGGCCTGTGTCTACACAGGGGAATGTCTCGCGCTAACAAACAAACAGGGGCTGGAGCGTGTACATGTACGTACGAAAAACTTGAAAGTGGAATTTGGGATGAGACCTGCCCCTGCCAAAATGCAAGTTCGCATGGAGGGAACACGAGACCCGTCCTCACCCGGGCCCAAGATCCTCATGTCCGCCGCGATGCCTTGCCAACTCAAGCAAAGTCAGGAAGTGAAGCGCTCAAAATAGCATTAAATTACGTATGGTATGCCAAATGTGTGTACGATGCGATGCAATGCCCCAAGCCAGAAAATCAACACAAAAAATATGTACTCAAGAATGAATCCCCCTTCACCCATCACTCCTCAAAGTTGTACACCTGATCATAGGTGTAGCAAAACGGCCCCTTGCGGATGTGCAGGAGATCCCCAGCGACATGATCCACCCGGTTCGCAAGGCCAACCCAGACAGGCGTCGTCAGGGTCGCATTGCCAGCGATCTGGTTAGCGTAGTCGAAGAAGACCAGCGGGCCCGAAATCTCCTGCTCGCGCACAGAGAGGTTCAGCATTTGCCAAGACCAGTACGCCCGATCCATGTTGCTGTGATGGAGATAGAACAGCGGGTCCGACGGGGATACGTAGGTGTCGGTCATGGCACCATAAAGGCCGCCGATGGCCCAGTGGCCGCCCGGGTGGAAGGTCGAGGTGTCAGTGATCTGCTCGAAGCTGCCAAAGTCGGGGAGGCCCATGGCCTCCTGGATCTGGGCCTCGCCCGAGAAGTCGCGCAGCGAGGCGTACGAGAAGTCACGACGCACGCAGCGGGGGGTGGTGCCGGTGGTGATGTTTTGCGGGCCGAGCTTGGTGGAGAGCCCGGCAAAGGGGCCCGTGAGCAGGCAGCCGCCGCCGCTCCGGTCGGGGAGCTCAAAGGGCGGGCCGCCCACCTGAGACGAGTGTGAGTGGTTGATACATTGCTGGGAGAGCACTGGGGGGACTTACGTGACCGGGGAGCTCGGGGTGGGAGAGGTTCCCTGGGATGTAGGCTCCGTTTCCGCCGAAGCCATGGTTGTTGTGAAAGACGGGTGACTTGAGGAACTCATCTTCGCTGGAGCCGTCGATTGTCCAGTCCCAGTAAGGCTTGTTTTGGTGTCAGTATTTGAAAGAGTTTGGGGAATGAACCGAGGGAGCGGGAGCTCCTGGAGTTCCCGCTATACCCTGAAGAAAGGGGGGTGTATCAGGTCATGTATTTCACGTACCTGGCCAAGCTTCCTGTCCCAGCCGCAGTCCCAGAGGGCCTTTTCATACTCGGCTAGGAGCAGGCGGTGGAACGGGTAGAAGATGCCCTACGAGGTGGTGTCAGTGGGATGGTCATTGATGAGACGATCGGTGAA